ATTGATGTCCAGAAACACAGTAGTCAATCTGTGCTTCTGATTAAGACATGATAGAAGCAATAACGTGCTTTTAAAATCATTTTTAAAAGCCTATACAATTATTTCTGTATTTTTATGATAGCCACATGATATTTACCATCTCATTTTCATAATAAAATTTTCTGCATCTTTTATGTCAGGAGAGAATAGTGAATTATTTAGTCTCATTGGGGATTTTATTTGTACTGTTTAAGTAGACATTGTTTAAAAATTATATAAAATGCAGCCAACAGGTTGACACAAAAATGCAATGAGTATTAATGTCAGTGTATATCCTGTTGGTAAAATCAATAGCAACATGATTATAAGTGAATTAATATGAATTAATAGTGAGGTTAATCAAATATTATCATATATAATATATAATGCATAGCATATATATATGTGTAGCACTTACTATGTGCCACACACTGTTCTAATTCATGTATATATACACTTTTACTTTCACAATAATCTGATGAGGTAGGTATAGTTCTTACCCCCATTTTACAGATAAGGAAACTGAACTGCTTACACAAGAACTTGGCTGAAAAACTGTACCACTAAGCCTAGGCAGGTGCACTGGGGATAGTGGAAGACTTCATATAAAAGTAGAAACTTTGTACTTGGTTAGAGCTATGTGCCAATAACCAGTCATGTGTTCTTTGCTAGATGGGTCAAAACATTGGTTCTTTTTGTTTTGTTTTGCTTTAAGGTACTGACAAAGGCAAACCAGGCAATAAAAAGTTATTGCTCTCTTTAAATAAGAAGGAAGCTATACACTTGAAGTTTCTATTTCACTGTGGTTCAGTAACAATATTTGGGCTCAAAGGTATGTCCTAAACTCTCCACTTCTTTTTTTTTTTTTTTTTTTTTTTTGAGACAGAGCCTCAAGCTGTCCCCTGGGTAGAGTGCCATGGCATCACACTCACAACAACCTCCAACTCCTGGGCTCAAGCGAGTCTCCTGCCTCAGCCTCCCAAGTAGCTGGGAC